CAAATTTAAAATTTTGAAATTTTGGAGGTAAAATTGAAAAAAAAAATTACAAACATTATAATCAAAACACTATTTTTTAAAATGTTGGATTCATGAAAGCTACAAACATATTAATACAGAGGGAGTAGTTGATTGGAGATCTAGTTAGAATGGGTTGACTTGATCCTAGTATTGATTTTTAAATGGATGGTTGAGTTGGCAGAGGAACCTAATCCAAATAGGATATGGAGCACGGATGATTGTCACTAACAATCGTTCAGAACAGTGTAATGTTTTTTAAACAAGTTATAATTATATCTTAACTACTTGTACATATTTATACCAAAAGTGTAATATTCTATTACTATTTATATGAATATCATGTACTCCCTCCGTCCCACTTTGTTAGTCTTGTTTTCCTTTTTTGTCCGTCCCAAATTGTAGTCCACTTTCCCATTAAGAAATATAGTAATCTTTCAAATTGTCTAAAATACCCTTATTAAATATCTTGTTATTAATACATTGTTATTAAATACTAACCCACTACATTGAATACATTGAGCTTTTCCAATACATTGAATACATAGACTACATTGATTAGCATAAGGGTATTTTAGGAAATTATTAATCTAAATTTATGTTTCCAACCAAATTAATTACACTTTCTTAATCTGTGTGAAAAAAAAACCAAGACTAAGAAAACGGGACGGAGGGAGTATTATAATTATGAGTCGTTATGAAATTTTATAAGTAATTCAAATAGAAGTTACAAGGGATTCAAAAGTATTACATTGATTGTCATTGACAACCGTGCTCGAGTTCATCCAAATACATGCATGATCACAATTTACAAGTTACATAAATTAACATGCGGGTCCAAATGAACTCGACACTAATTGACAAAATCCTTTGAGACATTATGAAAAGAGAAAAGGACCTTAGCCATTTAAGATCGTGATGGATCTAAAGTCACTATCGTATTAAATTACTGGTAAAGAAGACAAATGAAGTGATAGACAACTTAAATAACACCAATTACTATTAAACAATGGTGAAAACTCCAAGAGTCTTGTATCATAACACTCAAAGCAAGATACTACTAAACTGTAAATTATTCTAGTTAAGTCTCAAAATCACAAACAAATTTCACTCACACCCAGCTCGGCAATTTTATCAATCTTTTCTTCAGCTATGGCACCTTACGACTTAAAAATGACCTCTATTAATTACTGGCAAATGTGAGACATTCAGCACTAATTTTCCACATGTCACGTTCAGATTATTGTGTTAAAAATGAAGTGATAAACACGAGCAAGTCAAACTTTGGATATGAACGTGATTCAACAGCCAACCATTCTCGCGTTTATTCCGTGAAAAGGACCTTTGGCATATTGTTTCTTTGGACCAATTGTCAATAGGTGATGCAAGTTCTGATCCGTGGAGCCGACGAACGAGAATAATACTCCAAAGAGACACGGATCAGAACTTTTGACAATTTAACAAATTTTGTTGATCAGAATAGCCAAAGAGAATAATACGACAATATGCCAAAGAAACAATAAGATCGATCAGAACTTGCCACGGATCAGAACTTGCATCACCTATTCATGCACATGATCAATGAGAGATGAAAAAATTCATTTTGAAAAATGTGAGGGAAGAAAAAAATTCATTTTATGAAATGTGAGGGACTATGAATCGAATTATGTAAAATTTGATTTGACAATTTTACTCTTAAAAAATTATCACATGTAAGACACGTGATGGATTCCAACTAAAAACTAGTCAGAAACCTAGATAATGAGCAAATTTGATTAATGTGAATTTGTAAGGGATATAAAATTATACTTTTAAATGTGAGGGACGAAAAAAGTCAATTTACAAAAAGAAATAAACGTTTTGAATGATTTTTCCTTTTTTTTTTAAGTGGAAAGTCTTGAACCCATGAGTCGATAACTTTCTATTACAATTCATGACGTCTGATTACCGAACCTAACCTTTCTCGATAAAATGGGATGTTGCATTATCTTAACAAGTCATTTGCCAAAAATCTCTATATCAAGATCAGGCTTTTGACATCTTGAGGCTCATCCCACCATCAATCATGGAAAGTACCGTAGGAAAAATTAGTTCAAGATGGTCTCTATCTGGAATGACGGCTCTGGTCACCGGTGGAACTCGAGGAATCGGGTGTGCAATCGTGGAGGAACTAGCCGGACTGGGAGCAAAAGTGCACACTTTTTCAAGAAAAGAATCAGAACTGAATGAACGGTTGCAAGAGTGGTCCTCCAAGGGATTCAAAGTCACCGGTTCGGTCTGTGATGCATCTTCAAGAGAGCAAAGAACTCAGCTCATCGGAGAGGTCTCTTCCATCTTCAATGGGAAGCTCAATATCCTCGTCAACAATGTTGGAACAGGTGTATTCAGGCAAGCTGAAGCGTTCACTGCTGAAGAGTATAATATGATTATGTCTACAAATCTTGATTCTGGTTATCATTTCTCTCAACTTGCTTATCCGCTTCTGAAAGCATCTGGGATTGGGAACATCGTGTTCATGTCCTCAGTCGCAGGCCTGGTACATGTTCACCATTTATCTGTTTATTCAATGACAAAAGGTGCAATGAATCAACTCACCAAAAATCTGGCTTGTGAGTGGGCTAAAGATAACATTCGAGTTAATTCTGTTGCGCCATGGTATATTAGAACCTCATTAGTTGAAGAGAAATTGAGTGACAAAGAATACGAGGAGAGGGTAGAATCAAGAACTCCTATGAGGCGAACGGGAGAACCAGAAGAAGTCTCCTCCCTGGTTGCTTTCCTTTGTCTGCCGGCTGCTTCCTATATCACTGGTCAAGTTATCGCTGTGGATGGAGGAATGACTGTCTATGGATTTGAATAGGAGAATAGCTGAGTGAACCATATACCTTATCAAGGCAAATGTTTACTTTCCAGCAAAAATTTGAAGTTCTTTGTTTTCTCTGTTTTGCCCATATCTGTACCATTTAATTCTATTTTCTGTAGGGCATGTTCTGCATCTTGTTTGCTTGGTAATTTGATAGATAAAAGCTTTGGCTGATAATACTAAGAATAGCTTTTGGGCTGATACGTCCATGGTCATAACACTAAAAAATTCTATCCATTCTTAGGCTCTTAAGAATTGGAGTCTATGGTTTCAAACTTGGATTTTATTTTTATTTTTTAATTAAATTTTCCTATATCATTTTAGGAGAAGAAGAGGAATTTGTTCCCATTGTTGGGGAGAAGTAGCTCTAACTCCTCCATTGTCCTGGCAGACAAGACTCCAATAATTTGTTGGGACTTGGGATCACCTGTGCCCAAATTAAAGCTTTTCACTTAGGAAGCTGTTAAGAAAATTGATTTATTTCTTTTTTGATAATCATTTTGAGGATGGTTTATGAGTTGCTTCACACTACGACCGGGTGAAATTGATCTAACGTAAAAGACACAAAATTCCAGTCTTCAATGGAAAAAACAATCATGGAAAAAGAAAGGTAGACATCATATGTGTTTTAATTAGTAATGTTGGTTGAACTAAGGACTTTCAACATATTTTTGGTGGATGAATATTACTTTTCTTGAATTTTATGTCTTTATTTGAAAATACTTCACACTGCAGCAATTTTAGACTCCCAACTTAAGCTGGTATTTTTTATTTGAGCTCAATGTTTCGGCCCGAAGACGAGCCCATTGAAGTTTACGTATATAAAATTCGCAACACTCGTAGGAAATTGGGCCCCGGCTAGCCCAATCAACAGTCTAACTGGACCAATCAACAGTCCAAATGGATCTTCTCCGAGATGATAACTTACCTAAACAAATAAAATGTGGACAACAGTCATCGTCATTTTTTTATTTTTATTTTTTGTCAATACAGAGGTATCCGGGTCAATTCCTACGGGGCTCGACTAATCCCCTGCGGTCCGGATCCAGTGTCATCCAATACAATGAAACAAATCATATCTTCAAAATAATGATAATTTCATAAACCTCCGTGGAGGTTTCTAACAATTGTATGTGTCACCTCCCATGAGGTCTTGTAAAATTACACTTATCTCCCTTGATGCAATGAAAAGATTATGATAGTTTTCATAAACTTTACAAATTATAGGTGACAGATGAGTTTAAAAGAAGAAAAAAAGAAATCCTTTTTTTAGTAATTTTCTTTATCATAAAATTCTAATGTCATCTAAATTAATACATTATGCTTCATTCCCAATTTTTCTGACTAGATTCCTTAATCAATCTACAAAATGTCGACCAGCCAATTAGGGAAGCATTTATTAAAACTAGGAGAGATCGCCGTACTCGTACTCATACTCGTACTCGCGTACGGTGGTAAATTACAAATATGCCCAGGATCAAATGATAGATATTGGCGCTGCATGGGGAAAAGGACTGAATAACATAAATGCAACTCCATGATCGGCACTCTGTAGAGCGGAAAAAACATTTCTCACCGGCCATGTACCAAAACCTTTCAAAGATATGCGCTCAAAAGAGAACGATACTTTTACCCATACGGCCTGCAAAATATTTAGTTAAATGAATAAACCAACCTTGGAAATTTAACAGTTTGGCAAAAAAGCTTTGACAGGAAGAAGGCAAAGCTTCTCATTGATAGCCGTCAAAACAAATACATGTATCAATTAATGACCTGCAGGAACGGTCCCAAAAGATTGTTTCAGCTACCGTTGTAATTCTGGACCATACAACCTTCTTCCAATAATAGCAGGATGGTTTTGAAGATCTGCCATGACCTTTGCACCTTCATTTGCAATGAAGGCATCCCACATAGATAGCACAGTTGTTTGAAAGCAGGTTCAAATAGACAAGTTTGCCCACTTGCACGAGTAAATGTAATTACGGAGCTCCTGTATGGTTAAAATTAATGATGGGTGTAAAATGGTATAAATTGATAATTTAGTTTACAAAATGAATTTATATGAGCTTCTAAAAAATTAGAATAATTGGGTTATCCAACTCATTTTTTGACTTACCCATTTATATTCATTTAATCTAATTAAATGGATATAAATGAGTTGACTCACTTATACCCATTACTCATTTTACCTAACCCAAACCGGTCCAAATCACCCATTTTGCCACCTCTAATAACAATGCAGCTGCCATGATCTCTGTAGGTGGAAGTCAGACCGGGAGATCAGCAATTGCCCTTCCAGGTGTATGCTTTTCATGACAAGCACTCCGCCGTTTAGATGCTACCTTTTGATAAAAGTGTGAAGAGTAATCAACATAGTACTAGAATTAACCCATAAATCAATAGGCAAATTAGCTAGAGATACTATTAGATAGTCACAATTACATACTTTGTGCAATATAGCAGTGGTGCATAGTAGACCAATTGAGAATTCATACGAGTCAATTCTCAATTTCTTACTATAAAAACCGAGCACATACCTTCCTTTTACAACAAAATACGTATAGATTAAACACTAGATCTTGGTGAACTATTGCATCAGTAGCAAGATAGAGCCTTTAATGACTAATTCCACTGGATTCCATTTGCAGTCAGTCCTCCATCGACAGCTATAACCTGTCCGGTTATGTAGGAAGCGGCTGGCAGACAAAGGAAAGCAACCAGGGATGAAACTTCTTCTGGTTCTCCAGCTCGATTCATTGGGGTTCTTGCATCCAATTTCTTCAATTTTTCATCATAATCCTGCACAGATTCCGTTAATGGGGTTTTAATAGCCCCAGGTGCAAGGCAATTTACGCGAATGTTATCTTTAGCCCATTCACAAGCCAAATTCCTGGTGAGTTGATTCATTGCACCTTTTGTTGCTGCATAAACAGATGCACCTTCTACACTGACCAAGCCAGCAATAGAAGAAATGAAGACGATGTTTCCAATCCCAGTGGCTTTTAGGAGAGGATAAGCGAGTTGGGAAAAGTGGAAAGAAGATTCAAGATTTGTAGACATGATCATGTCATATTCTTCCGAGGTAAACTCTTCAGCTGGCTTCATTTTGGTTGTTCCAACGTTGTTTACAAGGATGTTGAGCTTCCCATTGAAGATGGAAGAGACCTTTTCGATGAGCTGTGTTCTTTGCTCTCTTGAAGATGCATCGCAGACTGAACCAGTCACTTTGAATCCCTTGGAGGACCATTCTTGCGAGCATTCATTCAGATCTGCTTCTTTTCTCGAAAAGGTGTGGACTGTGGCACCAAGTTGAGCTAGCTCCACCACAATTGCACGGCCAATTCCTCGACTTCCACCGGTAACTAGAGCTGTTTTTCCCGACAAAGACCATGCAGAATTATTTTCTCCTACCTTTGACATGGGTGGTAGTACAGTGGTAGTGATGATGCTAAAAGGTTTTTTTTTTCCTTTTTTTTGGTTTTTTTTTTTTTGTGGGGCGGGGGGTGTTTTGGTGCAAAGTTGATAGGTGGTTGGAAAGGATCGATGACCTGAATAAACTTTTTAAGTGGACAACCAGCAACAAAGAGCCTGTGTTTTGGGAACCAGAAAAGTTCTAAGATTCGATTGAAATATCCTGAATTGGTTGATTGAAGACAGAAAAGTATTTCGTGATTATTTGGAATGAAATTTTCTTTTCTGGTTTATGATTTTGTGGTGTACAATATTGTAGGCCTAAAGTCAAAAAACAACAACTAGATAGATGGTTGAATAACATCGACTGTACAAATTCATATCATTTTCAGACAAAGAAGTGTTCAAACGGAAGTGTTAAACAACATATAATTCCCCCATCGGCTTGCAAATCCCTTTAAGACCAATCAATAATTCTCTTAGATCTCTCCACTCATCGAAGATAAGTCCAGGTCCAATTCAATCGAAAAAACTTGAGAATAAGCAAAATTGGTTTCCATGCTGCCCTAGTTTCCGGACAATATTACAGAATCATCTTTTCTTTTTCTTCATCTATAACTGCATTATTCCTCTAGAGATTTGTTGATTTGTCTGTGGTATTGCAGTAGCCGTCATGATTCATGACTGTTACGTCTAATGCAGCAACGCTTCTTTATTCTTTTAGCTTTCTTTCATCTTAGTCAGTATTGCAGGCAATTTAATATCTGAAATTTCATAATATATATATATATATATATATATATATATATATATATATATATATATATATATATATATATATATCATTATCATTATCATTATATATGGGTAAAATACCCAAAAACTCCTTGTGGTTTGCTAAATGTTCAATTTAACTCCCTCTAGTTTGAAAACCTATACTATAACTCTCTGTAATTTCAACTAAATTGAAATTGGACGGAAAGCATCTAATCTAACAGTTATACATGAAATGTCAATATTGCCCTTATATAAATGAATTCCTTATAATTTGTTGAATGTTCAATTTAACTCCCTCAGATTTCAAAAATTATACTAAGACTCCCTATGATTTCGACTAAATTGAAAATTGAATGGAAAGCATCTCACGTATAGTAGGACAATATTGACATTTCACACACAACCGTTAGATTTGATGTTTTATGTCCAATTTTCAATTTAATCAAAATCATAGGGAGTTATGGTGTAGGTTTTCAAGTCAGAGGGAGTTAAATTGAATATTTATCAAATCACGGGGAGTTTTTGGTATTTTACCCGTACTATATAAAAAGTATGAATCTTGGTACGAGGAAGTATAAGTGTAAGCACTTTTTTATCTTAGTTTTTGTTATCCCCAAATTACCTTTATGTCTTTTTATTAGAATTATTTCATTTTAATGTGGCACTAATTAAAAGAAATAAAACACTCCAATTGATTACATCTTAATAGTATTGGTAATTATAATTAAAACTATTTACCTACCCTTAGACTCTATCTCCAATTATTAAACATATCAAAATTTCTTAATTGAAGTATGAAAAATTTCTTATTAGTCATTAGTTGAGATTGTAAAAGAAAAATCAATGTCAAAAAATAGATATTCTCTAGAAAATGGAGAAACGTATAAAGAGAAGAGAATCCTTATTCATCTGTATATCTTTATACAAACATCACAACCAAATTTTACAATTGTGCACTTTTTACTAAGATTCATAGTTTTTCTATAGTAATGATGAAGAATTTTTCATATTGCACCAAAAAATGATGACACCTTTATAACTGAAATAGTATTATTAAACTAGAAAAAAGAAATTAACATAGCACCATACAAACCACTATTATCATTAATAGCAACCGATCAAAACAAGAAGAACTGAAAAAAATTGAAAACTATTTATAAAATGACATAAAATAAATAGCAAATGAATTAAAAAACTAGAATACAATTCAAATAATACTAAAGATAACTTCCAAATCATTGATATCCAGGGAAAGACAAACATTGTTATTGACAATAATATAGTAATGCTTCATTTGTATTGGTTTGAGCAAACCAAATCCATCCACCAAATCAAAAGCCATCTCTAATGATAAAGTAAGAATTATAATAAGAGTAAACTTAAAATGAGGATTGATAAAATGAAAATGATATCCAAATTGTTATTGGTTATGCTCAAAATACCCTTATTTTTCTAATGATCACATATATTTATTGCATTGAAATATTAGTGAATAATGGAAGAGGTTATGAAATGCAAAACTTTAAAATTAAGTAAATTTTATTTATGGTGACAATTGTAATTAGACAGATTTAGTGCATTCCAATAATTGATAATAATGATAGCGGATATGGATTAAAAGTCAGCAATTAAAAAATATAACATTGCAATATACAAAAAATTAATATTAAAATTGTTAATTACCCATAATTCTCATTCCAATTGCATGATTATCAGAAAAATGATTATAAAACAAAAAATATTGTACTCATATGAAAAAAGTAGACTTGTTGCTTTTGGTCCGCATTGGATTGTGCTAAAAATATGCATAAAAGAAAAGAAAAATAGAAAAACTTCAACTATCTCTATCTATCAAATTTTAATTGTCAGAATGTATAAGCCAAAAAAACTTTATGTGGTGGATCATTTATACTCCATTATTGATAAAAATAGAATTAATATAATACAAAGAATTCAAATTACGTATATGTTTATTTTTCTGACTTCATTATATTCTTCATTTATAAAAAAATTGTAATGATTGTAGTTTTTGTGCAATAGAATCATGAATATACAATAATTTTGGTAAAACATGATATTATCAATATTTGATATGTTAGAGTTCAAATTATAAATCAAAAAGTGTTCGGTTCATAATTCCAAATTCAATCCTAAGGGAGTCAACTACATTGGGATTTTTTTTTTATCTCTTTTCATTTAATAAAGTTTTTAAAAGTAACTAGTTTAAAAAAATAAATAACATAAAAATGCTATATTATGATGTTGATTATCAAAATTTCATAAAAAAAAATTTAGTATCTAAAGAATAATATATTTTAAAATATTACAATCACGTGCTTTGCACGCGAACTATTACTAGTATGTATGTATGTATGTATGTATGTATATATATGGATACAAGTGTGAGAGAGGAATGAAGATTTGGGTTAATTACATTTACCTCCCCTGAGGTTTGACCATATTACCAATCAATCCCTGTAATTTGTCCAAATAACGGTCTCACCCTTTGAATGATCAAACATTTAACAAAAACCCTCTTAATGCCGAAAATGCCCTTTTTGAGGCCATATTGCATTAAAAAAGAATATATTTTTATTTATTAACCTTCAAGTAATCCAAAAAATAGAAAAAAGTCTTTACTTATTATTTTATAAAAATCATATCTTTGCTTCCATAAATAGTTTTGAATCAATAATTATTTTAAATCTTAAAAATGAATATTCAAAATTAGATAAATTGAAAGAAAAATAAAAAAGAATCAATTATTTTAAATCCTCAAGTATGGTTCGAATTTGTGGTTCAAGGCATGTTGCGGAGAGCACAAGGCATGTTTTCCTCAATTTGAACCATACTTCAGGAATTAAAATAATTTCTTCTTTTTTTATTTTTCTTTCAATTTATCTAATTTTTAAGATTTAAAATAATTATTGATTCAAAACTATTTATGGAAACAAAAATATGGTTTTTATAAAATAATAAGCAAAAACTTTTTTCTATTTTTTTGGATTGCTTCAGGGTTAAAAAAATAAAAATATGTTCTTTTTTTAATGCAACATGGCTTCAAAAAGGGCATTTTCGGCATTAAAGGGGTTTTTGTTAAATGTTTGATCATTCAAAGGGTGAGACCGTTATTTGGACAAATTACAAGAATTAATTGGTAATATGATCAAACCTCAGGGGAGGTAAATGTAATTAACCCATGAAGATTAACTTGCAGTTTCTTGGTTGTCTACGCATCCGACATCGCATGCATCTGTCTGATTCTTTGTAAGATTCTAACATTAATTCTCAACTCAAAATAAGTGTGGGGCTTTTGTTCATGTTAGTCTTACTCCAGCAGTTGACTATATGTGTTGTTTCGTATAATTGTGAAATTGTGCTATGAGATCAAGTTAAAGATCAATGGAAATGTAGGGTATGTCAAGTTTTTATTAGATATGAGATGATTTTTTGTTTACTCACCATATCACTAACGAGTTCACGTGGCTATTTGTCTTTTTTGGGTTATTCAAATTTTAGGTTATCATTCTTAAAACACAACTAGTTGGAATATTAGTAAGGTGACAATAAGATTCCATGATTAGACTTTTAACTTTGTGGATCGACTCGAACTCAACCCAATTTTGATTTACCAGGAAAAATAACCTCACCATTCCAAATGCACAGCACAATAAATGTTGGTGATACTAAGTTAAAGCTCACCAAGGTGATTCAAATTGATTTGAGCTCAAGATTTGTGCATACTTTCATCAACAATAGAAGATTATTTCAACTTAACATGAGAATAACATCAAATACATGACATGTTTTTCAAAGGAAGATTGGATAAAGTGGACGGGTTTAACTTGAAAATGGATCCAAGATCTCATGCTAAAATGCATTGGCTTTGCTTGAATTGAGTGTTTTTCTTACAATTGTTTTGTTTTTTTTGTGGGGTGTATAATAACAAACTCTAAAAATAATTCAAAAAACACACAATATCAAATATAACTTATAAAAATAAGAAAAATAACAAGTAACAAATTCTACCACTTTTTCTTTTTTCACCCACTATGCACCACCATCCACCACCTCTTTTCTCCTTCCTTCTTCGCCGCCACCTCTCCCCTCCTCTCTCCCTTTTCTTCCTTTTCCTACCATCCTTCTCCCTCTACCTCTTACTACCCTCCCTTCCTTCCTCCCTCCCCATTCACCCGTCCCTTCCCTCACCATTCCCCTCCACTCCTTTCCTCCACCCTCCGCCAACCGCCTTCCCTAGCTTCACGGTGGGGGGCAGGGGAAGGGAGCAGAAAAGAGGAAAGGGGAAGAGGGCGGAGGGAGGATGGAAGGGAGGGGAGGGAAGGGAAAGAGAGATGAAGATGGAGGGGGAGGGAGAGGAGGGGGAAAGAGGAGAAGGGGCGAGGGAGTGGTTGCAGCACAAAGGAGGGAGGAGGGGAGGATGATGGGTTATTTTTAACAAATTTACATAAAATGCTCAAAAAATTTTAAATTCTAAAAGTACCCCAAAATATGTTTTTAAAAACACTGAATCCAAATAAATCATTTAAAATAAAAGTTTTTCACATACATCGTTATAATAAACTTTTTGAAAAACACACCCAAAAATACCTAATCCATACGTAGTTATATTTATCAAGTCGTACTTAAAATGGATCGTATTTTAATTGAGCTGAACCTATCTCAATCCAAACTTAACTAATTTTTCACTTGAGTTTAATATTGGGAAGGGCGAAGTTCAGCCTAAACCTACTTTACATAAATTAGGACGCTTTGTTAAGAGCTAAGCTCGAGCTAGCCTAATCAACAGTCCAATTAGCTGGAGATACATTCTCACTATCCATGGAAACCAAATTCATATATTCCTATTGCACAACAATCTTGTGGATAAAACAAAAGCAATGCAAGCATCAAGAAACAATACAAACCAGTATCATGCTGAAATATTGCATCGATAACAAGATCCAAGGGTTTATAATGATTAGTCCCACCGGATTCCATTAACAGTAATTTCTTCATCGACAAATGTAGGAAGCAACTGGGAGACGAAGGAAAGCAACCAGGGATGAAACTTCTTCTGGTTCTCCCAATCGCTTCATTGGAGTTCTGGATTCAATTTTTTTCAGCTTTTCATCAGTACTAAGCATAGGTTTTGCTAACGGGGGGTTTTGATAGACCCAGGTGCAATGCAATTTGCCCGAATGTTATCTTTTAGCCCATTCACAAGCAAAATTCTTGGTGAATTCATTCATTGCACCTTCTGTTGCTGCATAGACAGATGCATTTTGTATACGCGCCAAACCTGCAATAGAAGAAATGAACACGATGTTTCGGAACCTAGAGGCTTTTAGTAGAAGATAAGCGAGTTGGGGAAAGTGGAAACAAGATTCAAGATTTATTATTTGTATTTATTATGTTACAATTGTTGTACGTGTTCAAGACCTAACCTTAGATATTTTGGTCATACAAAATATAACTTCATTTTAATTCTGTTAAAAAGTTGATCAAAAGGAGTAAAGTGAAAGGGCAAAGTGTTACTAGGGACCAAGTCCAGAGGGACAAAGTATAATTAACCTTTTAAACTATTATGCAATTAGTTCAGTTTTAAAGAAAGTTAGTTTGATAAGAAAAATAAAATCATTACACAATTTTGGAACTTTTTACATAATTTAGAGTTGCAATATACTTTTCATAAAAGTGAAATACAAAAGAATAATTTTGCTAAAAAATTGGTTGATTTTGAAATTTTTAAAGAGCCGACTATGTTTGCATTAGAGATTATTTGAAAAAAAAATATTTGCAAGCACAAGCACCACAATTCAATTCACCTCCCAGCAACAATCCTCTCTCTCTCTCTTCAATTATTTGCAAGGGAGAAAAGATTTAAAATTAGACCGATTTCATTTGATGGGGAATTTTTGTTGTCTTTTATTAAAAAAAAAAAAAGGATAAAAAAAAAGGCCCTTGGAGTTGGAACCGGTCGACTTGTTTTGATGCTGATCCTGATTTGCATTATTTAAGTATTGGATTAGGGAACATCCAATCCTGATTTACATTATCTCATTTTTTAAATTTAGAGCTTTATAATCTAATTTTATGTTCTTCAGATCCGTTCTTTGATATCTTTATATATTTGATGATGTAATTTCTGCCATTAATGCAAATTTTAATGAAATTATGATGTTTTATATAAAAAAAAAAAAAGTATTGGATTAGGGAGTTGTTTGCTTTAGCTAGGAAAAGGGTGATGAAGAATGAAGAAGACGTGGGCAAATAAGCACGTTTTCTAGTAGCAGCAATGTAGAGTGCGTGATTCACTCAACCACGTTTCCATGCTGAGGAGAGGAAATTAAAAAAAAAAAAAAAAAAAAAACTGATTAGACGTGAAGTGGGGATAGTTGGCCGTCCAACATTGATCCACTCGCTCTTTTATTATCGGTGTGGTTTCAAGTCAGTCAGCAGTATATTTCTTCATGAAAACGCGTGCTCATTTTCGTTGTCGTTGAGAACTATAATCATTTTGTCGGGAGTGGATTTGCTCTCTTATTTTTTTTTATGAAAATAAATTATACTAGGATAGTTGAAAGTACTATCTCAAACATTAGCACAGAATAATTTGCGTTCTGGAGATGGTTTCTTCCAGTTATGCAGTCATTCATCTCGCCTTCGTGAAGGTGCAAGATGATTTTAGGATAAGATTTAATTTTGCTGAGGATTCTGGAATGCCATCAATTGACTCCAGTGATGAATCCCTTAACTTGTCCAGTTATCTGTATCGATATAGCCATCAACTTGACAAAGATTGGATGTTTCTGAGGATGTTTACAGTTTCTATCCACAGGTGGAGTGATGCAGGGAAGCTTTTGCAGAACTCGGGACGTAGTGAATGGGTATATCTGGTTGTCACCATTGAAGCCGTAGCCAAAGAGCTTCTTGAAAGAGTTCTCAACAAATGCTGTTCAAATCCTTCAGAGCTGCTCAACTTACTTGAGAGAATTGCAAACGAAGGACTGATCATTTCATGGCCGAAGTTGGACAAGTTCTTGATTATATTTCGCGGTCAGGTACCGGCTCATATCATCTGGATCCTGACTTCATTTACGACTATTCTCAGTTGTCAGAGATTTTGGGCTCCGTAATTGAGGGTCTGGTTTTTCTGGAGAACACCAGTTATGGCGTCAATGATCCTGATCTTAGAAAACAAGTCTGTGCTTTCCATGGGGAGCTGAACTTGATGGAAAGGTACCTTTAATTTTATGATGTAAATGCTACTTCCATCTCCAACTTCTGCTGCATTAGTGGCAGTGAGAATGTAATTCAGGCTTTTCTAGCTCATGTTGCATCTGTCCTTGTGCGCGCCGCAATTCAGTACGGTAATTACTGGATTGGCCAGAAAACAGATCAAATCCAAGTGGCAAACCATATGCTCAATTTTGGACTTGCATCTTTGCTGCATGAGATTGATCCTACTAATCTAGAGTTCCTAGATTCCAGTCACAATTTCCTAAAAGCTCTAAATAAATTCAGCACATCACAAACTGTTATGCCAATATCTTCTCAATGGGAGAGGGGACTCTGATCTTGAAAATGAGTTCAAGTCTTTGGTGACCTTTGTTATCTACAATAAACCAGAGGACAAAAACTCCCATGAGGATGTGCGAAGTATCTGTGCAGAAATTATGGCATTGCTTGCAGAGGCTGCTTCTCGCCATGAGATGGGACGGGACAAAGCTGAAGCAATTTGTCCTTTGTGTTCTGAGCTGCTTAAAAACGCTTGCCTTCTCAAGACAGTGCTTCGTTAAGGAGCAACTGAAAGAAAGAGCTTGTCCTCTGAAAATTGGAGAAATCAATGAGGTTTTGGAAAGTCAGAGAAGATTTACAACAGATGTACCCCATGAGAACATAGAGAATGGAAATCAGATGTTGGCATTCACAAAAGAAGTGGCTAAGGATGTTGCATCTCTACCTCAGCATGTCAGCAAAGGAAAAAAAATCTATGGTGAAAGAACTCACTTCTCTGTTTGCTTTTCAAGATTGTGATTTTCAAGGCAGAGTTATTTTTGTTTGAGTTACTGAAGAGCACTAATACAAGTATTATGGTTCTTGACAAATTCTCCCGAGTCAAATGCACCAGTGAGGTGTCATTTTGAAGAAATTCAACTACATCTTAATTCATTGACTCCTTTACTTGTTAACGTCTCAGAGTTGGACATTGATAAGCATCGAGAACTAAAAGTTTTTGGGAATCAAGTAATGGATGTAGCATACAGAATTGAAGATGTTATCGACTCGCTGGAGTCTGATGCTCATAGGCTACATCTCATATGGTTTTATGATTTACTAGATGAATTAAAACTGCTCAGTGAGGAGGCCTCCATTATGCATGTGACAACCCCTGATGCTCAAGTCCAAAATATCAACAATGTCACGCAGGTTTCAAGCAACATGATATCAAAGGATGTTATACCAGTAATGAATGAATTGATGGTGGATCGAAGGGAGGAAGAAGAAGCTATAATTGATCGACTTATTGCAAGTTCGTCAAGTTGAAATATTGTTTCTATTGTTGGTATTCCTGTTATTGGCAAGACAACGTTGGCTAGAAAAGTGTACAACTGCAAACATGTTACGTATTGCTTTCTTCGTCGAGCATGGTGTACTGTTTCACAAACATATGAGAAAAGAGAATTGTTGCTTCAGATTGAGCGTGACATTCAAGGGCATACTGGTGAAATTCATCAAATGAACGCTGCAGATCTGAAAGCAAAATTGTGTCAGTCCTTGCTGAGAAAAAGGTACCTCATAGTTTTGGATGATGTAAGGGATATTGGAGCATGGAAGTATATGGAAAATTCATTGCCAGATGACAGGAATGGAAGTAGAATTTTGATAACCAGTCGTCTTAGTGATTTTGCCTTAGATATTAAACCCGGTGATAGTCATCCTGTCCCATTACTCTCTGATGATGAAAGTTGGGAGTTACCAGAAAAGAAAATATTCCGTGGTGGAAGTTGTCCAGAAGAATTTCTGGATGCTGGAAAGAAAATTGCTAAACAGTGCAAAGGATTACCTCTTTCAATTGTTGCAATAGCTGGTCTCCCGGAAAGGATGGAGAAGAGACGAGATTAGTGGGAAAAAATTGCAGAAAGCTTGAGTTCAGAAATAATGCAAGATACAAAAGCTCACACCATGGAAATATTAGACTTGAGCTACAAGCACCTACCGGGACATCTAAAAGCGTGCTTCCTTTATTTTGCAGTTTTTCTTGAAGACAAAGTGATTCTTGTCAGTAAGTTGATGCAATTTTGGCTAGCCGAAGGGTTCATAAAGAAATCCCAGTCAAAGAACAGAGAAGATGTCGCGGAGGACTACTTGATGGACTTGATAAACAGAAGCTTGGTTGCAATATCCAAAAAATGTTCAAATGGAAAGGTCAAAGCATGTTGTCTTCATTATCTGATATGTGATTTTTGCAGGTCAAAAGCAAAAGAAGAGAATTTCTTACAGCTCGTAACCAGGTGTGATGAAACCTATGCTTCTTTTCCTGGTTCAGATTATGGTTTAGAGGTTGATTTTGACCTCCATTTAGATCCTGTATCATATGAAGCTTATCCATTGAGCAGTTTTTTGAAGCGGAAACAATTTTTGGGTTCAAGACCATCTGGACCTGGCACCTGTACTTTGATATTCTTTACCTCTACTGATTCAGAGCCTAGATGTCCTTATGACATCTCATTCATTTGTAGAAACTTTTTAAATTTCTTCGGGTTTTGGATTCCGAATGTATCAACCTGGGTGTTTCTTTTCCAGCTGAACTAGTACTGCTGGTTCGATTGAGATATTTAGCAGTCAGTGGGTTCATACGGAATGTTCCACGATCAATAGCCAACCTCAAGAAACTAGAAACATTTTGTGCGACTGGTTTCCATGGAAGGTCATCTTACCAGATATTATTTGTCACCTGCCAAGTTTAAGGCATCTTCATGTTAAGAAACATGTTGCTTTCAACTTGCAAGATGAAGAGGTTGGAAGTTCTTTTGATCTATAGAATTTGGTCAGCTTTTCCTTGCCAGCACTTTCTTATGGGGAAGATACGGAGAAGATACTTAAAAGGTTACCTAACTTGGCCATGTTGAGATGCATATTCTTGGAATCATGGGATTCTTCCAAGAATATGAACCAATTTCAGAGATTGAATTCTCTGTTTCATTGGAGACACTAGATATTTTACTTTGGTTGGTTTCTTAGTGCCAGCTACCTGATTCTGCCACTGAATCTAAAGAATATGAACCTACCATGGAATCATATTTCTGTGACAGGAAGGCTACCAAAACTTCAAGTGCTGCCTTTGTTGGGCGAAGATGGGACATGAGAGAAGAAGAGTTCCAGGAACTTAAATTCTTGAAGTTAGAGACCGTGAACATTGCCCAGTGGAACGCCTGTAGTGATCACCTTCCCAAATTTGAATGATTAGTGCTACAAAATTGCAAAAATCTTGAGGAAATTCCTTATGATTTTGGGGCCATACCAACCCTCGAGACCATCGAGGTGCATTGGTGTGGCCAATCTGCAGAAGCGTCTGCAAAAGAAATTGGGGAAGCAACTTATGAGATCAAAGTCCTGATCAGTAGTTCATAATTGAGATCATCGGTATAAATCATGAAGGACATTGTGGTATTTTCCTGCTGAAATATAAGCATGTTCATTGAATTTTAGCTGTTGAATCATTTCATTTGCTCTTTTCTGAGATGATATCTCTTTCAAAATCTTTATTTGAGGATGTATCATGACTAGTTAAAAATGTACAGAAACTTAAATGAAAATTGAATTTGTCATCGGCTTATTTTAAAGTTGAGAGCCTTGCATTACCATTTAATTGCTCCATAGTGATTATAAGTTTAATCAATTTAAGTAGGTTTCTTACTTAAGTTGCTTATTCATTGTCTCCTTTTTGACACATTCACTCCTTACCAGAAATACCAAAATAGCAAGCACATTTCTGTGGAGAAGCTGATTCATCCAAGTACAGAAAAAGCACTTGTTTCTGATTCTTTCTGATGGTAAATTCTGGAGGCCAGCATGTGCATATTATATGTAAGTGAGGATGTTTTTCATTTCATTTCACTCATGCATGCCTTGGATATGTGCTCCTTACATCAATTTGTTTAAAATTTCTAGAAGATTACTAGTTAAAAAGTTGAAAGCAACTCTACATCTTCTTGTAGGAAGATTGTCCTGGAGCTGCCTTTACATTGTCAGTGTGCTGTTTATGGTGAATCTCAGGTTATCAGTTTCATCTTTTGAGATTGATGTCCGAATCATTGACCTGGGATAGTTTTCGTCTTCCCTGTGCAGCCACTTCTTGGAGAACCTGATTACTGTTGCCGATTGACCTTAAGCCCATTATCAAATAATTGCAGCCAAGAAAGATGCTGCATTGTTTGTGCAAAAGGTTTCAGCAGCTAATTGATGATGGCAGTTCTCAGATGGATGTCCACCTAGCAAACGCTGTGATAGGTCAAGGCTGAAGGAAGAAGAGACTGGAAATGCAGAAAATGTATACTATGTTCATCAAAATGAGCTTGTCATACTAAAGACAGGAAAAGAGAAAATGCCAAATTGAGCAAGAATTAAGAAAGAAATAAAACAAGCTATTTTGCAAAGAGCCACATCGAAGTTGCCACCCGTCCAGGAAGTGAAGGCATATATGTAAAAAGCCATGAATTGCAAGTTCATCCCTCTATTGACTCCTGCAGTCTTGGATTTTTTTTTTAAATCAATGATTAATCTTTTCTATACAGGTGTAAAAAGATGATTTTATACTTGAGTTAAAAAAAATGTTTTTTCGATCAATCGGCAATTTTTACATTACTCCTACTCCTACTCCTACTCTAACCTATCTAAGGAAGGCTCCAACTGGATCAAGGGGAACTAATGGGGGCTTGAGTAAAATTTAGAGTAAGTTTTTTATATATTGTCAATGGTATTTTTTTTTTATATACTAGCAGATTTAGATCGTTGCTACATAATATAAATTCAAATTTAAAATTCATATCATGGATATGTGGAATATATCTAGTGTAAAAAAAAAAAAAATCAGTACACTATCAATCATAAGAAGTTAATCTTAAAAGTTATAGTCACACACCTTGACCCTCAATCATAGTGTTTCCAACATAGAATTTTAATTAAGTAGCAACTAGGGAGAAAATTAAAGACATTTATGGAACTTGCCCTGTATGTTTCAGGGATGTTCGAAAGGCCTTTCAAACCCGGATTAACACAGGAAGAGCGTTACGATATGATCTAGTATCCTAAAGTCATGTATCAATATTAGTCATGTGTTAAGGAATAACAAGTGTGTTAGGGATTTTATTCATAATTAAACATTAATTTTATTCTAAGATGCTGAAGCCCATTCAGCTAATTTTTTTGGGTGGTAATTTTCTATATGTTATTCTTATCTTAGATCCCATTAAGTTTTTTTGAGATTTAAGAAAATATCATTCAGATATCTTGCATTCTAAATATTTTCATTAGAATTCCTTTTGTTCCGTACCCAAACAAAAAAAAAAAAAAAAAACTTTGAGGACAAAATTGAAAGTATATTCTGAATTGGAGGATCAATATAGATTTCGGAGCATTTTGAAGGACCACAATGAAATTAACACTTTAAGGGGAGTATCAGTGTTTTAGACCCAAAAAATCAAATAAAGTCATCTACTATCAGTTTCTTTTTATTTTTCTGAGATGATAAAGAAACACCTATTAAATCATTTAATCTAAGCCTCTCTAGAAGAGAAAACAAAGAATTTTAGGTTTAAGCTCCCTTAAAATAATAAAACCCAACTGAGGCTTCTTTTGTATTATTACAACTTAGCCCACTAATGATCTACCACCCTCAACTGCAGGATACATTACCATTATCAAGTATAACTAACCAGTTTGCAGCTTCTTGCAATTGACTGAAATCTTTATTCCAATTGCCTTTTGTGATTTGTCAATACCATACCTTCTTCTTTTCCTTTTTTCCTTTTTTTTTTTTAATCTTACATACATCAAATCGTTACAGTTCGTTTTTCTACAAGAACTCTAAAATATAACAATGCAAATGTGAACGAGCCTCACTGACTACTCTCCCACTGGAGTGGTCATAAATTTGTCCATTACAAACCTGTTAGGCCTGCTTTTCTAGGTTAATCATCTAGGATTATGTCATTTGACAGAATTTATTTGCAAAATTCCATGCTACTCCTGTTTTTTAGCTTCCTGTCTCTTTTTATTTATCTATTACTTATTAACTTACTACTTCTACCCATGTTAATAAGCTGAAATGTACTGTCCCTATCCCACTTGAAGAAGCACTAAAAGAACACTAAGGTTTCAGCAGACAAAAAGCAAAAGAACTATCAGGTTTTAGGAGACAAAAAGTAAAAATAAAAGCCAGAAGCAAAATGTACTGATACTAGACATGCAGTACAAGATCAACATTTTGACCCAAAAAAGAAAAAGATAAAGAAAAAGAAAAGGTACAAGATCAACAACCAATAAACGGCGAAACTTTAGCAGTTGAGATTTTGAACTGTATTTTTCATTGATATGCATAATCCCAGAAGCTTCAATTGCATCATTGACTGTAATTGCAAACTAATTGTTACTAAATTAAAATGCATCTATTCATGGTTCCTGAGCTTCAGATTAAATGACACACATGTCCAACTTGCCTTCCTTTTTGCCACACTTTTTTTAAGAAAAAAAATAAACACTAAAAATATATTGCAACTAAATAATTTGTCACCCAATTCAATTCAATTGAAAGCAAGATATGAAAGAAGAAGGCTAAAAATGACCTAAAAATTTGAGCCATCATCCAGGCTTATCAAGAGACAGATTTCCTTCTTCTTGGGGTGCAAGTGGTTCATTAAATCTCCTAGAGGATATCCTATTAAGTAAATTCCTGAGGCTATTCTTACTCTCTTTCCTCTTCTTGAAAACATGCCCTGCATCATCCTTTTCAGAGAATGTATGATCCAAAACTAAACCTCTTTCCAACCTTCTTGCAATTGTAACAATCTCATAAGAATCCCAAAGGGATTGGCCAAAATCCCAATTACTACTTGTACTACTACTGCTGCCATATCCGTCACCTGATGATGCTTTTCTTGCAGCTTCAAGCTTGAATCTGCTAGGCTTGCCCTTGAAATTTCGCCGGTGGGCATCAAATTCATTTGGTGATGACTTAGAGCTGCTGGAATTGGCATACCATGCTTGTGCTACTGCCTTGATGATCTCCAGATCATGTTCGTTTTCACCATCATGAACACGCTGCTCTTGCTGTTGCTGCTTTTTCTTCATAGGGTAGCAATTTAATTGATTTTGGAGTCAAGAAATTGGTTAGTGCTGCATGGGCCATGTTATTATCCTGGAACTATTTGAGCCTCTCATTTTGGAGCTGCAGAAATGTGGGGATGACAAACTGATCAACTGAATTTTGTCATCTTTAGGACACCTTAAGGGGACGAGGGGACGAGGGGCCTGACAACCGTCCCAGGCAGTTCACGGCTTGGATGAGGTCTCAAAAATTTGTGCGGTTCAGATCACGTCTTGTAACTCGATTTTCACGCCGTGTGGGACCCACAAAAATGTTGTTTTAATGTTACTCGCTGTTGTTCTATTATTATACCTTGTACAGATGATGTTACACCATGTACAAATGATATTATACCTTTCGGAGCAGTTGTTACACCATGTACAAATGATGTTACACCTTCCGGAGCGATTGTTCTGATAACCGCTCCAGCCCCGCGTCCACCTTAAGGACCAAAGATGAGTTTCTGTCAATGTGTTGTCATGAATGGACCAAAGGAATAGCATGTTGTCATGAATGGACCAAAGGAATAGCATAATTGCATGTAAGACATGGATACCTTGCTTTGTCTTTTAGATTGTTGTACTATACTTTTGATGTATGAGAACATGAAAGGTCGTACAAAGTACAGACAAAAGAGGGTGGCAGAAACCCACAATGGTAGGGTCATTTATGATGTTACAAGTTAACCTACAAATAGTAGGATGAACACTAATGCATGGTTAGATTTCCTAACCTCCAAGACTTAGCTTACCAAAAAATAAAAATAAAATAAAATGAATCTCTAATTCTTAGAACTCAACCTCAGTTGTTTTTATCAATAGTCTATGGCCTCATTGCCTTTATAAAGGGTAGTACATAGTACATCATTATTTTGTCAAATTGCAAAAAAAAAAAAAAAAAAAATCATCAATCTTTTTTTTTTTTTAAATAATCGTCAATCTTATACAATTAGAAGTTATGTAGTTACAATTTTGATCTCTATAGCCACACTGAAGAAAAAACAAAATGAGTTGTCTGCACATAGTTTATTGTAGTAAATGGGCGAAATCTGTCAAAGGTTTTATTTAAGTGAGTAATGCCTTAAGGTAGAATGAACACTTTCTACAATTAATTTATTCTTCAATCCTTTTTTTTTTTTTTTTTTGTCGTAAGTGAGAGGTCTTGAATCCAAAATTTCTTATTTATAACACTCTCACCTTTTGACTCAATTCAACCCTTTCCCAATCCTAATGTGTATAATAGCTAGGACAAATTTTTGTTTTAAATCCTCCAAAATTTTCAAATCCACATTTTTATTTATTCCAACTTCGGATATAGCTCCAAAAGAAACTCTAAGTAGAGAAGGACAACAGCATCAAATGAACACATTTCTCTATGGACATTGTTTTCATTATTCATACCACGTAAATCTGTGAGAACATAATCTTTTTCTGAATTGGATTTTATAAATATTAAGCTACAAAATCTATATGCTAAAGAACTACACATCAGTAAGATTGTGTTAAAAACAACGAGCAATGATGACGTAATTTCTTTTTTAACATTTTCCAATAGAGAAGGGATGATATTTTAAGACATAGGGAGGGAAAGAAAGATTTGAATGCAGGATCAATAATGTTCTTATTATACATGCAAAAGTAAAAAATGGGTACACGATTTGTCTTCAAAATGGGAACAAAAACTCATATATTTTTGCCAAAAAAACTCATACACTTCATATAAAAATATCTCCTTAGCTATTTTACACTTAATTGTTATGCCATCGAATTTTTTAAAATTAAATTCTTTATAACGTTTTTGGATATTTGGTCGATATAATTTTATCAATAAAAAATGATCACAAAAAATGCCAAAAGTGTGCGCTCTTCAACTATTCTTTTGAAATCGATAACTTTGGTCAATCCTTATAAATTTTTTTCAACCTATCAAAGTTTTGAAAATTAATTAATATTGTCCAAAATTTTCACACAAAAATAGAGCAAAACATTTTCCATCTAAGCCATTGGTTTATGGTTTCTTTGATTCTACGTGTTTAAATCTTACTGCAGTTCTAAGATTCGGTCCATGCACCCACCACAGTACGCCCAAAACCATAGCCTCCTTTAAATGTCTTTACCAGAGATTCTTCCCGCGCTCAAAATTTCCCTTTCCATTTCCCCATCTCAAATTTCTAGCCCTTCCTCCACTAGGGTTTATACTTCTCAGGGAAAAACCCCAGGATTCCTTCTTTGATTTCTCCAACTTTTCTCGAATTCCAATCTCCGCATGTAGAAACAAAAGATAAAACTTCAAGAAATAAAAGCAAGAAAATGAGCAGCGCCCCAATGGATATTTCAATTCCAGATGCCGCTGCTGAACTTGGGCATGACGTTGTTGATCAACAAAACGGCAACGTTTTGGAGCCACCGCTTTCTCTTCCACCGCCCCTTCCGTCTCCTCAACCTCCTCCGGCAATAGCCGACGATAAGATTCCTGTTTCAGGTTAGCATTTGTAATTCATTTAATTAGTGAAATTTTTGAACTTTTTTGGGATGTTAATTAGTTTTATTTGTTTTCATCTTTTGGCCCTGTATTTTTTCAGTTGAAGTTTGTCTGAAACCAACTAGCACGGCTCGTATTGAAGATGTTCGTGCTGCCGTTGAAAGGTACTCCTAAGTGAATTATTTCTAGTCCAGACTATTGAATTATTAAAATGTATTTGCTCCAAAGTAGGATAAATTGCAAACCTTTTTGGGACTTTTTGGGACTTTTTTTTGGGAGTTTCAGTTATAGAATTTTACTATATATTTACTCTGATATACTGTGGCTCGATTGCTAAAAATGCATTTAAAAAGAAAAGATAATTACTTTTGAGATATTGTATTCAGGTGGATACTTGAACAAAATCCTGAAGAGTGAGTTTATGGTGGTTTTTAAGATTGAGCTGAATTTATTTCAATTTGATTTAGAAGTTATCTTTTTGTTGCTTAAATATTTCACAGGATGCTGGAACATAGGAATATGAGCTATGTTGATGGGCCCATTCCTGTGCCATTGGATGATTCATTTCTTATTGAGAATGTACAACGCATTTCAGTTTGTGACACAGGTAGGATTTAATTTTTGGGTTTTCTTTTTTTGGGTAATGCTACTACATTCTGGGTTTAAGAAGCAGAAAAGTCAAGGGAATCTGTTTGTAAATTTCTGCTAAAAGTGGTAAAGAAATGCTGAAGGATTGGAAAGTTGTTTTGTCATTAGAACTCCTTGTCTACTTGCTATTCTGAGAGGAAGTTTTGGTACCTTTGATGATTTTTGATTTGTTGCTTGATTTCTGGTGTTCGTAGATGAATGGCTGGATAACCGTGATGTTCTTTTGTTCTGGCAAGTCAAACCCGTTGTGCATGTTTTTCAGGTAATGATAATTTATTTTTAGCTTACTGGTTGCCCTTCCTCTTCTTTGGTTTTAATCATAAGTAAACTTATCGATTACTCATATTGAACAGTTTGGCTTGTAAAGAAATAATTTTTTTTTATATTCATAATTCTCGGATCCTATGCAGAATAGATGCTTTTGATGTTATCATATGATTTCTAGGTCTTAGTGGTAGATAATCTTTTATATGCTTTTAGATTTGATTGAATATTATAAAGCAGCATCCAAAGACCTGACTGTTGTGAAATAGATTGCTGTAACCTGCAAATGGAGAGTTTTGTTGGTTGGAAGGATTGGGTGGGTGGGAAACTGTCTCTGCATTCACTTCTCTGAAGACCGTTGTTAATCATGAATTGTGATTTCCACTTTCAGGGAGTACATTCCAACGTCTATTTGACCTTTGGCTCTCAGTTTCTTCTGGATTCAATTTTGCTCCTAAAGAACCAAAGTTTTAAGTTGGCCTCTTTGAACTAAAGCTTTATGCTATGCTGTGGGGTCAAGTCATTTGTAAATTAGATCGGTGTAACATTCAACCAATTCCAGAAGGTCAAGGGAGCAGGTTGAATATATATGGATATATGAAGGGCTCGATTGTTACAATCTTAACAAGATAAATATTTTTAGAGGGCTCAATTTTATATTCATGTTTTAGAGGTTTGCTAAAATTAATCTTGATACTGCATGTACTTATCCATGCTGTGCATTTGGACTGTTGCTTCTTTCCAGCTAAGTGAAGAAGGACCTGGTGAAGACTTAAATGGTGATGGCCAACTTTCTAGCTTCAATGAATGGATGCTTCCTGCAAAGGAATTTGATGGCATGTGGGAAAGGTTTGCCTTTTACAGTCACATTTTTCACTATTATTATGTTGATAAGCATAGTAAACTTGACTTTTCTTATTCTACAGCTTGATATATGAATCTGGTCTCAAGCAGAGATTATTGCGTTATGCAGCAAGTGCTTTGCTTTTTACTGAAAAGGGTGTTGACCCTTTTCTTGTTTCTTGGAACCGGTAAGGAATTCTTGCTGAGCTCTTTGATGTTTATGTAATCTTGTGTTAATATTTGTGCTGAAGTGTTCGGCAAAGTTCTTGTGCAATTTAGTGCTCAAGCCTTTTGAACTGTTTATTTTATGGACAAAAATCTCACTAAGTGATGTGTCAAATGATCACTGGAAAGTTCAAAGATTGAACTGCACAATCAAATTGTTTTAGAGTAAACCTAGTAATGTCTAATGGAATTTCAATTTACAAAGCTCAGCCTGACAAATACTCGGGAATGGTAGATGTAGATGTGCATATGGTAATGATGCTGATTGAAAAAGACTATAACTTCTTTGGCAAAAAAGAATGGAGAAAAATAAAAAAGAGGCGACAGCAATTAACTATTTTTGAAGTACATATACCACAATATGTATTGTTACTAATCCTATCTGAGTGGTCTGCAGTATCATTCTTCTGCATGGACCTCCAGGAACAGGGAAAACATCTCTCTGCAAAGCACTAGCTCAAAAGCTCTCTGTACGATTTAGCATCAGGTTCTGATGAGGTCTCATATTGCTTAATTACTATTC